GGGAGCGCCGCTGCACTCCCAAGCGGCGCACTGTAGCAGTGCGCCACCGGGCCGGCCCCTTTCCCGATCATTTGATGAAATTTTGTGTGTGTGTGTTTTAATCTTTTCTATCTTTTACTGCATCTGAGGAATATGAGAGGCCTAGTTCCATTTGGTTGCTTTATCACTACAACATAGTTAAGGAAATTTTATTTTACTGTTCCAGTGTTTTAAAGATACACTGATTTGCTTTTTGTTGTTTAAAAATATCTCAAACTCGTCTTACGCCAGTAATTGTTATATAATATTCTTTGGGCTACATGACTAAATGTATAAGGTTCATAGTTTAGTATATATTTTAAATGTAATCATAAACTGAAGTGTAACTTTGAATCAGTTAACTTCTTAATTCCCCCTTTGAAAATGTTTTCATCTCTTTGTAAAATAGGTGAGGCCCTTAGAAAAACAGTATTGACTCACAATAAACATTAATGAGTGTTGGTGAGCAACGTGAGAGCCCTTCATGTGTTGCTTTGTTAAAGTCCTTTGGTAAGTTGCCACACAACCTAATGTTGCAGGACATTGAGTGTCACGTGATGTTACCTGATTTCAGTGGATAAATTTATAGGGTATGTATTTAAGACCAATTTAATAGTGCTACTTTTTGTTAAGGGTGAGTTAATATTATTTAGAACTTGGAATTCAATGGCATAGTCATCAGGAAAGAATTGCCCAAATTAAACTTTATCAGTGGAGTTACATTCTTGATTAGATGCCTTATGAAAACATTCTATCATTTTCAAACTTTGTTTCTTATAAAATACATCTTCCTTGCCTTTTTAACTATTTATGGACTACATCTTGATTACTGATGAGGGGTTATGTTGGCATGTATCAGCCATTCTTTGAAAAGTATCTTTTAATCAGGTAAATATTTGTTTAATAATAATTAGCTTCAAAGAATGTTAAAGAAGATTTTCTTTTGTGGTAGGTGTTTGGAACATTAAGGAAGAGTCTCATTAATTTCATTTTTCTGGGAATCATGTTTACCTGCCAATAAACAGTTATAGAGAACTTAACTTGAGTGATTGTGTACTTTTTTTATAGTTTTCATTTATTCTCTTGACCTTCAGACTCTTAAGTAGCAGTCCCTTTTCCTCTTCTAATTTTTGCTTCCAAAATGCTATGGGTTTGGAAATTAGATTCTTGTATTTGTTAGAATTCTGTGTAAAGTGAGATTGTGTAGTTCTGAATAATGTTAACTCATATGTCTACACCTAAACAATACTTTTTTTGTCTTTTCTTAGTGTATGAATTATGTTACATGTATTTTGGCTACTCAGAATTCTGTTTACTGATCTCTTAGTCCTGGGCTGTGTTTTAAATAAGTGAGCTCTTTATATATTGTGCACTTAGTCAGCTGTACAAGGGTACTTCAAAAAGCTGGTAGAAAAAGAATTAAAAGATAACACGAACCTTTCCATGAACTTTTTGAAGTTCTCTAGTTAAGAAAAAGTTCTAAAAAGTAACATGAAACTGATAAAGGGTGAAGAGATCATTTAGGTGTGATTGTTGCCTTTGCCCTACATGCTATTAGTCATTAAGATTTACTGTTCCTTTTTCAGACTACTGTGCTCTGACTTTTATTTCTTTGGGATTAGAATGGTAATAGACTAACTATTCCCGTTGTCTGTGATTCTGGTTGTACTTGATCTTGCATAGCTTCATGAGAGTACTCTTTCAGAGAATGTTGCTGTGATTGTTTCACTTCCCTCCTCAAAAACCATTAGCTGCTTTCCAGTGCCAGCACCGAATAAAGCCCATACTATTTAGGTTGACATTCAGAGCTTTCTACAGCCTTTCTGTATTTTTTTCAGAGATTATCCTCCCATTCCAAAATGCGGATCCTCTTCCTGCCAAGTCCTGTATTCGTGGTACCTTCTTTTGTGTTTAATATTGTCCTTGAAAGTCTCAGCACAAAATGTTTTTTTTTCTTGATGAAATCCTACACATACACATTTTATTTCAGATGACCTCTCTTCCATGAAGCATTTCTTGCTTGTATTGTCTGTACTGTTTTTCCCATATTGCTTTGTGGTGTTCATGCACCTCGTTTTTGCCC